TTATCTTCGATCTCCTGTTGAGTTCGTAGGTGTTCAGAATGGTTTAATCCCTATTCAGCTGAATTCCTGAGACCAGATGAAATCCAGGTCTCCTACTCTACCGCCATCTTGCTCCGCCCCCCCTACATCATTAGTTTTTGATGCAGTGTTCCATGATTCATTGTTTGTGTATAACACCCAGTGCTCCATGCAGAACGTGCCCTCTTTAATAAAAGTGTACTGTCATTTTTAAACTAATGTCTCCTTTGATCCCTCATTTGTTTTGTGCGGATTGCAGATTTATCGAATGATAGCCACAATTTACAGACATTTAAGGATGTAGTCTCCCCAAAGTTAGTGATATTAAATAGGGATAAATTTCAAGTAGGACACCGACACTAAGACAAAATTCACTGAAATTAAATTGATTAATAACTCTATATTCACAGAATAAGAGCAAGCTCCAGGGAGGGCTAACAATTATAAATGAGACATACAGTACGGTTATTAATAGTGCATTAATATTGCATTGTCTGAGGAAGAAATATAAGAGTTAAAAGTAATCCCTTTACTGAAGCAAAGATTCAATATCACTTCTCAGTCGACTTTTTTCATTTAAATTGCATGCACCTAAGTACTAGTTTACTATTTGCCTATTTTATTTAAACTTTGAAACAATTTGCTACAGCACTTATCACTTTTTAATATACTATGTAATTTACTTGTTAGTTATTATTTTTATTATCTTTCTGCATTTCACATGAATGTAAGTTCCTCCAAGGACAGGGATGTGCTGTATCCCTAGTTCGTAGAACACTGCTGGGTTCATAATGATACATTTTCAACAAGTTTGTCAGATGAATCCTGGAATTAGTTTGGAAACAATTTTATTATAGTATCTGTTGTACATTTGTTGTGCACATGCTAGGAGAAATGTAGCCAAAGAGGGAAACAATAAAAATAAAACTATAGGAAATGACAAGTTGTCCAGCCCAGGGACTTCAAACTAGGATGTGTGAAGACTTCCGAAGGCAGACATGGGATTGTTTTAAAGAAATCCATTTCCACCACCAATTTCTCAGGGTGCAGTTACGTTGGATTGAGAACTAGCCCATGGTCAGGTCCTGCTGGTACTTTGTCCCCACTTCCTTATTTATAATCATTTTTCTCTTATTTTTACAAATGAAAGACATCTCTCACCCATCCTAAAACAATATGAAGCATATCTCTGAGTTGTAACTATCTCTGAGGTTCTGGACAAAGAGACAATAGTGAAAGATTCTCATAACTGGGTAATAAGAGACTTGGCAAGTCAGATGGTTTGCAACTGAACAAAATTAGATGAGCCTAGTTGAGCGTCTAGCTGACATCATTAGAATTAACTCAGATAATAGATCAGTGTCTGTGATTTGGGCATTGTAACTTGGAAGGAGTTTAAATAACTTAGTGAAAATTCTGCAACAAAACTTCTTTCACTCCCATCTCAAGGTTTCTCAGAAATTAGGTCTAAAAACAAGAAATGTGAATAGAACAAATGTGGAGTCCTGTCTCATTCTAGCAACAATTTATTCATCCAGTGACCTGATGTTTTAACATCTAATAGAATTAAGAAATATATTTCAAGTAAAATTTTGTGCTTGGGTATCATTTACACAAATTTGTAATATTGTTAGACACAATCTACTACTAATAATTAGCTTACTCCTAAAGAATTTTCTTAGCGCATACGTCCTGTCACAAGACATTTTAAAAACTTCAATACACACACACACACACACACACACATATATATATGCACATACACACACATATACGTATAATCTTAATCAAAGGAAGTTTGGCAGTGATCAAGAAAAGACTTCCAAGCATTCCCAAATCCTAGGTGACAGACACTGAAATGGAATGTAGCATGCTAATTAATTAAGAAGTGTTCTCTTGGGATCAATAGTTGTGTCAGGGGAGGGAAGGGAAGCTGGATTGAGCAGAGGGAGCAGTGACCCTCAATGGCAGCTCAGGGACAGGCTTGGCTGACCTGAAGGGCATTGCTGGAGTCAGCAGAGCTCTTCAGAACTGTCCTGGGTTGGACTAAAATGTCCAGGGCTTTATACTCCCCACTGATCAGTCATGCACTGTGTGACATCCCAGGAAGGGGCATGACTTTGAGCAGAGTGGTTGTCTGTAGCTGAGGCAATTCCTGAAGAGGCTTGAGAACTGAAGGCTGTTTGCAGAGAACCTTCCTTGCAGCTGGAACGAGAATGTCTTCAGCGAAGGAGAATCTGGAGAGCACATCCCAATGTCCAGCACAAATATATTTTACTTTAGAGTAAAATTCTTTGAGGAAAGGGGGACAAGATAGAAGTTCAAGGAGAAAATGGGTGATAAAATTCTGACTGAAGAGTGTCTTCCTGTATTTTTTAAATGAATAATGTGGAATAGTAAATCAGTATAGTGTGTATATTCCTTTGGATGCATATAAAAAGTGATGTAAAATTGCTTCTCAAAATATTAATAGTTATAATATGCTGGAAATTGCATTTTTGTAGCTACTTAAGTAATGATAAGCAATTTTAGATGTCAAGTAAATATATGAGGGGCTGATGTTGGAGTTCCAAAATTAATTTAGGGAGAAGGTGAGAAAAAATTGAAGAAACCTGGTCTCATCTAACAGATCATTTTGCAAATGAGAATACTGAGACTCAGAGATGTTATTAAGATTTGCACATGGTCATACTAATAATATGAAACCAGACCATAAAGCAGTTATACTGCCTGACCTTTCTTCCTTACCTGGTGGTAGTGGAGACCCATTAGGCTTCTAGTTGTGAAGGAACTTCTAAGAATGAAGCTGTCCTCAAGGGTTTCTTAACCTAGGGTGCCTGGATCCCTTCAAACTGCATGCAGCAATATATATATTCCTGTACATTTTGGGGGGAACACTTCTATAGCATTATAGCCACTCTAGAGGAGACATATATAAACAAAGCTTACTGTTAAATTCATACATCTCTAACTCAGCCAATTGTCTTAATTCAAGTTCATTTCTCCCTTGAACCTCTTATGGGAGACTTGTGCTTTTCTGACTCTCTTGCATGCTCTTGCCTCTGCCCTCATTCAAAGATGTGAAACCGTCCTCATGCAGAGAAACCTCCTTGTATTAAATCGTGCTTGTCCTAAATCATTCCTGGTCTCAACAGGGTGATCTCGTGTATGTTAACTATGCACAGACTGAAGACTTTCTTAAACTAGAGAGGGACATGAAAATCAATTGCTCTGGGAAGATTGTGATTGCCAGATACGGGAAAATTTTCAGAGGAAATAAGGTAAAAATCATTCCTTTTTTCCCTTCCCCCAATATAAAAAATATCTTACATGTGTAGAAACATATCCCTAAAACTTTCTGAGGACCATGATCCTTTCATATTCTGTAACACGGCCACCTTATGGGGAGGACACGTTTACTAGCTTATACACAGGGGTTTTAAATTGGGTCATTGGAGTTTGAACCAGTGTAGAAGTTCAAGGAGAACAAAGCATATTTTTTCACACCTGCAAATATGCCTGTGGTCTACATAGAAGCATTCATTGGATTTGTTGTTGCCATCAGTATCTTCGTTTTTTAGTATTATCTTTGAAAATACTAAATTCAATTTTAATGTGAATTGTTAATATAGGTAATCAGAGAAACCAAATTCTACATAGCAGTTTTAAAAAGTTACTATCACTTGATCTATTCATTTTTTTCCTCTTTTGTGAGAAATTAAATTTCAAAAATATTCCCGCCAAGTCATAAAAGATATAGAAATCTGGCCTGTGGAGTCTGCTTATTTCTTGGGCTCCTAGACCAGTGGAAGAAACAGCAAGTACTTACTATCACTATTGTGGACATTTCCTAAAGCTACAGCTCTGAGGGATGATCCATCCCTAGAAACCCATTTTTATTTTATCATTTTATTTTTTTCTTAGAAGCCCATCTTTAGAACCTGAAGTAAGAAAAAGCAAAGCCAGTTCTCTGTGAGATGTCCTTTGTTGTAGGTCTAATGATAAAAGATTGAAAATAAAGTTTGGCTATTCATTTAAGTGTAATTTCAAAAAAAATTGATATTATCAAATCTGGAACAACCAATCTGAAATAACAGAGACATTGTTCTTTCTAGGTTAAAAACGCCCAGGTGGCAGGGGCCAAAGGAGTCATTCTGTACTCAGATCCTGCTGATTACTTTGCTCCTGGGGTAGAGTCCTATCCAGATGGTTGGAATCTTCCTGGACACGGTGTCCAGCGTGGAAATATCTTAAATCTTAATGGTGCAGGGGACCCTCTCACACCTGGTTACCCAGCAAATGGTGAGTGATAGGACCTTAATCATCATGGGAAACTAAAAAAAAAAAAAAAAACCTTTTAAGGAATTTTATTAAAGGATTTTGAGATCAAGTATGTCTTTTCAAAATTCTCTTTGCATCTAAGAAGTAAGTTTAAGAGTTTCAAACTCTGGAAATTATTGGTTTATGTCCCTTATCTCTTATTTGGAACACTTGGGCCTGATGGGTTTTAGAACTATGGTATTTTCAGATATCTAAAAGTAATATGGGGCATATCCTATATATTGCCTAACACTCAGGAGGCTGGGATAGGATACAGGAAGCAGGCATATAAATATTTTTGCAACAAAATGTATGAATAATCATACTAAGCAGAGGTAAATAATAAATGATGATATGAATAACCACATGTCTGCTCAAACTGGATTTTGCTGTCAAATGAGTTTGCATCAAATCAGGTTTTGATGCTAAGCAAATTCCCTCCAAATTTATGGTTTTTAAGTTTTTGGATTTCCTAGTTGTGGATAAGGGACAGCAGAAAAGAAGTTCTATAAGCCTCCAAAATGACACATTTAAAATATAGAGTCCTGGGGCACCTGGGTGGCTCAGTCAGTTAAGCCTCCGACTCTTGATTTTGGCTTAGGTCATGGTTTTGTGGTCGTGAGATCAAGTCCCACATCCGGCTCCATGCTCAGTGTGGAGTCTACTTGAGGATTCTCTGTCTCCCTCTCCCTTGGCCCCTCTCCCTGCCCACACTCTCTCTCTCTCAATAAATAAAATCTTTTTAAAAAACAAAAAAAATATAGAATCCAGAAAATGCTTATTGCATCTTTGCTATATAAATACCATAGTGATAAATTTCTAGGACTGTTTTCTGAATGACAGCTGTTACACGTATTAACAGACCTATTAGCCTCATAGTATTACTGCCTCTGCTTGACAGGAGGAAAGGGAGACACGCGGGCTGTCTGCCCAGATCACCACCCAGGTAAGTGAGGGCTTCCAGCTGCCTGGCTCCGGATGCACATGCTTGTGTAAGGCTGAAATGCTTCCCTGTAAAAATGTAGATCATTAACTAAGGGAGCCACTTTATTTTGAATGTCCTCAGCTATTTGATAAGGTTTACAAAAATCTGTGATCATTGAGTTTCTGTGGTTTATTTTTTTTAGAGATTTTATTTATTTGAACAAGAGAGATAGCAAGAGAGAGCATGAGCAGGGGCAGAGGGAGAAGCAAGCTCCCCACTGAGCAGGGAACCCAAAGTGGGGCTGGATCCCAGGACCCTGGGATTATGACCGGAGCTGAAAGCAGACACTTAACCCTCTGAGCCACCCAGGTGCCCCTGAATTTGCGTGGTTAAAACTAGCTAAGTCTTTATCTTGGATAAAATAGGTCGCCAAATCAGGGAAATACAAATCAAAACCACAATGAGATACCACCTCACACTAGTCAGAATGGCTAAAATTAACAAGTCAGGAAATGACAGATGTTGGCGAGGATGCAAAGAAAGGGAAACCCTCCTACACTGTTGGTGGGAATGCAAGCTGGTGCAGCCACTCTGGAAAACAGTATGGAGGTTCCTCAAAATGTTGAAAATAGAGCTACCCTATGACCCAGCAATTGCAGTACTGGGTATTTACCCCAAAGATGCAAATGTAGAGATCCAAAGGGGCACCTGCACCTCAATGTTTATTGCAGCAATGTCCACAATAGCCAAACTGTGGAAAGAGCCCAGATGTCCATCGACAGATGAATGGATAAAGAAGAAATGGTACACACACACACACACACACACTAGAATATTATTCAGCCATCAAAAAGAATGAAATCTTGCCATTTGCAATGACGTGGATGAAACTAGAGGGTATTATGCTAAGTAAAATAAGTCAATCAGAGAAAGACAATTATATGATCTCACTGATATGCGGAATTTAAGAAACATAGCAGAGGATCATAGGGGAAGAAAGGAGAAAATGAAACAAGATGAAACCAGAGAGGGAGACAAACCATAAGAGACCCTTAACCTTAGGAAACAAACTGAGGGTGGCTGGAGGGAAGGGGGGGGAATGGGGTAACTGGGTGATTGAGAGTAGGGGAGGTATGTGTTGTGGTGAGCACTGGGTTAACACAATGTAAGACTAATGAATCATAGACCTATACCCCTGAATACCTATACCCCTGAAACAAATAATACGTTATATGTTAATAATAGAATAAAATAAAATCTGTTACACCACACAGTAAAAAATAAAAAATTAAAAAAAATAGGTCGCCAAATTATCTGTGGCATTTTCATATTTATTCTTCATCTGGTTTTTCTGTCAAATTGTAAACTCCTTTAAAGCTTATGTATTTTGGCTTTGTAGATCTTGGAATTGTCATGATATTTTTTTAAACAATACATATTCTTCTATAATAAAATCACATAAATATACCTGAACTTCACTTACTTTCTATTCCCAAATTAAAAAATTATATATAATTTCTCTTAATCTCTGTTTTACAAAACTAAGATTATGAACATAAAATGAACTTAACTGGAATATTTCTGTTGATTATCCTTAAATTCAAATGATAGTATTAGGAGGAGGAAAATGGTATCTCTGGTAAACCTCTGGGACTTACATTTATTGAATTCCCTTTTGTGCCTTTTATTTTTCTTTTCTTTTCCTTTTAGTTTTACATTTTATTATGGAATAGTTCTTACATACACAAAAATAGTGGTAATTATCAACATATTTTATCAATTTTGTTTCATCTCTTTATCCTCCCTTTTTTGTTGTTACTTAGGAAAAATTTTAAATAAAGCCCACATCGCATATCATTATGTCATTTTACCCATAAAAAGAATACACTTTTGCAATCACCTAAAGTTCTTATTAGATAATTTAAAATTTGAAGAAAAAGTAGAAAAATAACTCATATTTTTATTCCTTTTTTTCTTTTTTTACTCTTTTATTGTTATGTTAATCACCATACATTACATCATTAGTTTTTAATGTAGTGTTCCATGATTCATTGCTTGTGTATAATACCCAGTGCTCCACGCAGAACATGCCCTCTTTAAGACCCATCACCAGGCTAACCAATCCCCCTACCCCCCTCCCCTCTAGAACCCTCAGTTTGTTATTCAGAGTCCATCATCTCTCATGGTTCATCTCCCCCTCCAATATCCCCTCCTTCATTCTTCCCCTCCTGCTAGCTTCTTCTTTTTTTTTTCTTAACATATATTGCATTATTTGTTTCAGAAGTACAGATCTGTGATTCAGCAGTCTTGCACAATTCACAGTGCTCACCATAGCACATACCCTCCCCAACGTCTATCACCCAGGCACCCCTCCCTCCCACCCCTCACCACTCCAGCAACCCTGAGTTTGTTTCCTGAGATTCAGAATTCCTCATATCAGTGAGGTAATATAATACATGTCTTTCTCTGATTGACTTATTTCACTCAGCATAACACCCTCCAGTTCCATTGATGTCATTGCAAATGGCAAGATCTCATTCCTTTTGATGGCTGCATAATATTCCATTGTGTATATATACCACTTCTTCTTTATCCATTCATCTGTCGATGGACATCTTGGCTCTTGCCACAGTTTGGCTATTGTGGACATTGCTGCTATAAACATTGGAATGCACGTCCCCCTTCGGATCCCTACATTTGTACTTTGGGGTAAATACCCAGTACTGCAATTGCTGGGTCATAGGGTAGCTCTATTTTCAACATTTTTAGGAACCTCTGTACTGTTTTCCAGAGTGGTTGCACCAGCTTGCATTCCCACCAACAGTGTAGGAGGATTCCCCTTTCTCCACATCCGCGCCAACATCTGTTGTTTCCTAACTTGTTAATTTTAGCCATTCTGACTGGTGTGAGATGGTATCTCATTGAGGTTTTGATTTGGATTTCCCTGATGCCGAGCGATGTTGAGCACTTTTTCATGTGTCTGTTGGCCATTTGGATGTCTTCTTTGGAAAAATGTCTGTTCATGTCTTCTGCCCATTTCTTGATTGGATTATTTGTTCATGGGTGTTGAGTTTGATAAGTTCTTTATAGATTTTGGATACTAGGCCTTTATCTGATGTCATTTGCAAATATTTTCTCCCATTCTGTTTGTTGTCTTTTGGTTTTGTTGACTGTGTTTTTGCTGTGCAAAAGTTTTTATCTTGATGAAATCCCAATAGTTCATTTTTACCCTTGTTTCCCTTGCCTTTGGCAATGTTTCTAGGAAGAAGTTGCTGCGGCTGAGGTCGAAGAGGTTGCTGCCTGTGTTCTCCTTTAGGATTTTGATGGACTCCTGTCTCACATCTAAGTCTTTCAACCATTTGGAGTGTATTTTTGTGTGGTGTAAGGAAATGATCCAGTTTCATTCTTCTGAATGTGGCTGTCCAATTTTCCCAACACCATTTGTTGAAGAGACTGTCTTTTTTCCATTGGACCTTCTTTCCTGCTTTGTCAAAGATGAGTTGACCTTAGAGTTGAGGGTCCATTTCTGTGCTCTCTATTCTGTTCCATTGATCTATATGTCTGTTTTTGTACCAGTACCATCCTGTCTTGATGATGACAGCTTTGTAATAGAGCTAGAAGTCTGGAATTGTGATGCCGCCAGCTT